ATTGTTCCAGGTTGAAACCAGGAAAAGCCAATGGGCACGTTCATTTCAATATTTCCCGTAAAAGGTTCATTCTATGGGGAATCTTAGTAGTCTACCTAAACTTTCACTTTGCTGGTGAGGGTTCGATTCCCCATCTTGTAGTCCCCTCCCCCTATGTATAATTAAAAGAAGGGTTCATTCTCTGTATGTTTGGTCTAAAGATTCTTTACTTGAATGCAGGGTTTTTCCCATCACATCAAAACAAATTATCATTCTTCTCAATATTGATAGTGATATAGCATCTTTTATAAAAATAAAAAAAATTAAAGATCAACGCATCTGCAACAATGAAGAAAAGACGCCCCAAAAACTCTTAAGATAAAACTGACATACATAGCTTTCAGAAGGGTTACTGATGCTCTTTATCCTTGACGCACACTGAGATATTGCCTTCACTTCTTGAGCAACCAAGTTCCAGAGGTCACTTGGGATTTCTTTTGACTCTGAGTCAGAGATAGATAACATTTTTGAATCTTTCATCTGGTTAGAAAGCTGATATTCTTCCTCACTAGCAGCAGTAATGAGCACCTGCAACTTCCTTTTATGGCAATTTAAATAGACCTCAATGTCCAGTGGCTCCGTCTCCTCACATCCTTTTATTAAAATATCTAAGGCAGACAGTTCAATTGAATTTAGCCCTCTCTCTGTATGACTGGTGACACGTAATGATTCAGCACGGACCTCTTTTGAGGAAAAGAGAAGAGGAGCAAGTGTCTTCACACACTCAGAGTGCAGATTTTTATCAACTAACTGATGGATACCATCCTTCATTAGAAAATCAACGTCCAGTAGATGAATCTCATGGAGTATTCTATCGACAGTCAGGCTCTTATACGATTTTAAGTGGGACAATGAAACGAAGTCAATTTTGCTTTCCTTATTTGTCAAAAGTTCCATTGAAATAGAGAACTCTTCTCGGGCTCTCGCTTTGTCACCATCTGATATAGACAATTGCCCACTTAACCAAAAAAAGCGAACCCAAAACCCATCATTTTTACTACTTTGAGGATATCCACTATGACCATTATTCTGGCAATGCTCCCTCATTGAAGAGCTTTCTTTCCTGCCAATAATGTGGAATGGATAGTCCAAAGCGACGCATTCAATTATTTTGCATAGATGATATGAAGCCTCTGACATCAAGCTAGACTTTTTTGAAGTGTCAGAAGAACATAAACCAAAATCATGATATAACTCAGCAAGAAACAAATTGCACTCAGGAGTTCTCTCCTGGCCCCAAAACCTTATCACCTTCTCCAGATCTAAAAATTTAGACGTGCTATCCTGATACAAAATGCCTCGGTTGGCAACTTCTTCCAGGAGCATGTGACCCAAGTGGTAAGCACCGTGATTTCTTGTCGATTTCAGGACAAATTCAACAACATCACTACACTCTGTATCCGGTGAATTAGGAAGATCCTCAGCTTTGTCTGCAAATCCTGCTTGATTCACAAGATAGGGTCCTAGAAATTGCATTACAACTTTAGCAAGGTCCCTGTTGGTCTCAAAATCCAATTCTTCTTTGTCTGGTTTACGACTCCTGAGCCTTTCCAGGCGGCTGCTTCGTCTTTCTTGAGGTTGTTCTCCACAAATACTTGATTGTTTTTCTCTACCAGCACTACCTTTCTCAGACTTGTAATCCACAACGCAAATGTTTTCAGCAGCTGTGGAGACTGAAGTAGTTTTCCTTTCTGAAGGATCCTTAGATTTTCCTGGTATGTTGGACAATTTAATGCTTACTGTAACATCACCAGATATGTTTTTCCCTAGTCCAAGTTCAGAACTAGATTCAATTGATGGATGTAAAATTTTCAAGAGTTCACTGGCAAGAGCTGTCCAGGAAACATCTGCAAGGCAGAACTCCAAACTTTGCTTCAACTTTTTGGAAACAGGTTCTTCATCAAGGTCATCACCTGCAGCTTTTCTCTTCTCTGGGAATTTCAGCCGCATATGTTTAGGTTCTAGCTTGTCTATCCCTCGTGGGGCAAATGGAATTGGTTCAGACTCTTCAATAGTTCTTTTAACATGCAAAGCTCGAGAATGGGAAGGCCAATGTCTTAGAATTAGTTCAGCAACTGAAAGGCAGTCAACCTCATCACCTATAGCAATAAGCACTTCTAAAAGTTTTTCCATGCAATTCCCTGCATATTATTCAAGAAGAAGCAGCGGATGAAGGAATAATAAGATTACCTCTGCCATTAGGTGAATATGTTGGCTCTTTTAACATTCAAAATCATGTAACAGGAAAAGCTTATTTGAGGAAGCTTATAAGAACTTAAACATGATATAAAATGCTCACAGTTATTGGGACTGCAATATAACCCTTGTTCAAATGCCCAGCGGGAAATGCTCAACGATCCCATTGAGCATGCTAAAGTTCCCAGCTTATTCCAGACAACAGCATCCTTATTATCAATCTCTACAGATTGAAGATAGCATTGCAAAGCATCTTTGTAGTATGGAGCACCTTGTTGTAGAAAAACATTGGCAAGATTCTTCAGTGCCAAAAATCTGCAGAAATGTGAATGAGTACAGTTACCCAGCATCAGAAATATATGTTTTATACAAATATTGACAATTGAAGTGGAGAAGGGTTGGGGGAGGGGCCAGTATCCACCGAGTTACGAACCGTGCGCACCACTATTCCTTGGGGATTTCTCGGTTATCAACACAAAAAAGAAATTGTCAATTAGTAGTCAATTATTTGAGGCTTTTATAGGGCAACTATCTTAGTTTATTAACATCCACAATCAACCATGAAAATGATGTTATTTGGAGGATTGAAGGCCATAATTGAATCTTAAAGCGAACATAGAGGGTAAGAGCAATAAATGCGCTTAGTTTTAAATGCACAGGAAAATTAAATGGGAAAATGTTCTATAGCGAGATAGAATATATGGTAGTCCACTAGCTATTCTAGACTATTAGAGAAGTAGTAGCCAAGAACAAGCAAGACAAGAATTACAATACAATTGGAACCAGTAGTTCAAGTGAGAAGTTAGGCCTCAAAACACACCTGAGCTGCAAAAGATGACCATCACTAGAATTACTATCCACCTAGAATGTCAACAAAGAAAAAAAAAAGAGAAAAAAAAAAGAATAAAATAATCATCAGCAAGGTTGTATTACCTTATCAAAAAAAAATCATCAGTAAGGATGTAGCAGAAAAGATGGTGATTCCAAGGTAACCATCAGCATTTTACCTGAGAGTTTGAGACCAAAGGATCCTTTAACACAGCCTCCAAAAGCTCACGAGCTTTTTTATAGTCTTTAGCTTCCAGTTTCAAAAGTCCTTCATGGTAAGTTTGTGATAAATGAAATTCCTGGAAAACACAAGTTATCATAAATCCATTGTAAAAAGACGAAAATTGAAATAGCGCCATGCTTGCTCTTCATCACAGTAACACAATAAAAGTTCGTAACAAAAAATTCATCCATATAAGAAACAAGTGATCACAATATTGCGTGCATAGTAGATAGAATCGCCAACTTTTTAAGGAAAATGGAAAAAGAAAAAAGAGAAATGCGTTATAATCAACTAAACATTTAGTAGAAAAAACTTTTTCTTTTTAGATCTTAAGCTTGCAAAATTAGGGTACTTTAACACAAGGTGCTCTTTACAATTAATTCTTGAATCTCAACAACTAAGCAGACTATTTTTTGCTCCATTCTAAGGACTAATCTTTGTTTCTTACAGAGAAGTCCCCTTTAATCTCAGATACCAATTGCACCACCAACAACATGTGTAAATTACACACACACACACACACAAAACAAAACCAAAAAAGCAACACAGAAACTTGAGCTGAAGTTTACCTGGGCTTCTTTGGTTGGGGCTAAAGGTTCCCATTGGCTTTTTGAGTCTGTATCATTGATAGCTGCAATTGAAAACTGAAACCCCAAATTTTGAAAAAACAAAAAAAAAATCAGAGAGACACAGTTGAAGATGATCATAAATATACTGCGAGAAGTTAAAATATTTGAATTTTATTACGCTCTAGCTTACCATTGTAGCAAACAACTATGAGCCGAGTTGAACTCTAACGGATTTTCTCCATTCAAGAAATTGGGCGGGCGAACTTTCTGTTAATAATATTAGCAGTTCTCAGTGTTAAATCCTTCGTTCTCTGCGTCGAATTGTTTCCGATTCATGAATGTTTGCTAAATCGTTGTTTTGCCCCCAAAGTTTGGGTAAATACGATGATTGTCCCAAAAATATTTGGAAATTTAAACCGAATTACACTTAATAAAGAGGAGTCCAAAACTTAATTAATAATTTTTTGAACATAAAATACATTTTTGATGTTAAAAAAAAAGATACAATAATGGGTATTTCGCAGTTTTATACTGCGAATTGACTTAACGGATTTTTTGCCGTTAAGGCATTTCGTAGTATAAAACTGCGAAATATTAAAAAAATAATTTTTTTATGACATTTCGTAGTACAGTACTGCGAAATAGGCTGATTTTAGGCCCCACCAATAATTAACTGACATAACAATAATTCAAATACATAAAACGCAGTATAATACTGCGAATTACTTTGAAAAATTGTACACCCCAAGGTCGGACTTGCCTTATTTATAGGCGCTTCAATTTTATAAAAATTCATTCAACACTTAAACTTCAAACATACGTTTATTCTCTCTTCTCCTTATCAATCAATTTTTTACAATGTCTGAAGTGCCAAAAATAAGGGTTTCACTGTATTGGGGGAGGGGGGGTGAGATTGTGGTGGAGAATAAATCTGTAAGGTATAGCTCACCTCCACGGTGTCATGTTAAATTGCCGCTTAATATGGAGTACAATACATTGGTATCGTTGTTACGTAAAAAATGAGTGAGCGGAGGCGTTCGGTTAGCCTTAAAGTAACCGGTAGATTTTCTTATTCAGTGACTCCGCAGGGGTTTGCTTATTATTCTGAGTTTAACATCGAGGATGATGAAACTCTTAGAGATTTTTTGCGGATTCCGGATGAATACAGGGAATTTATTGTAATAAAATTATTGGAAATGTACGTCAAGGTGGAAGACGTTCCTAGTAATGAGGGCGTGCATAGCAGGGATAACCCCCAGTCATCGGGTGGTTATTCTGGAGCAGCGTTTGCCGGACAGATTGGAGATGAAAGAGCTTGCCTTGGTTTAAACTTGTCACCACAGGTGAATGAGCAGCCAGAAAATAATGTTTCCACTTTATATAATTAACAAGACGACTGGTAAACTTCNTGTGATTGCTACATATTTGTTCTCACTCCCAAGTATGATTTAATAACAAAATCTTAGTTGATATATATATATATATATATATATATATATATATATATATATATATATATATATATATATATATAANTTAATAACAAAAGTTTAGTTTATATATATTAAAATTATAAATATGAGAAAAATAATTCAATGAGCATTTTATTATTTAAAAGAAATACTCGTAAATCTTGCAATAGTACTCCTAAAACTGGGAAAAAAGAGAGGAAAATAAGGACACATACAACAAGAAATAAGGACTACTAAACCTAAATTTTTATAACAAAAAAAATACTCGTAAACCCAATATAAAAAAAACTCGTGAAATGCTTGGAATTCAATACCTTAAATCTAAATAGAGATTATATGAAGGACTCCAATCACATAACATAATTTTGTAGATCAAAGTCCTAAGAGTTAGGAAAATAATTAGGCGATTATTCATAATGATAATAGGTGAATTTGACTATAATCACACCTTAAATAATCACCTTCTTGTGTAGTTTTAATGCTAAAAGTGATGACAAAATGCTCTTATTAGTGCTTTTCATGATTTGTAGATGATATATGTATAAAGGAAGGCTAAGGAGCAGTTTTGGAGTTAAAAGTGATGAAAAAGAGGCCAACTGTGAAATTTCCCAAGTGACCCATGCAAAACAGGCCGAGGAATTCAAAGTACTGGATCCACCGCGGTTCCACCGCGACCGCGGCAGAACCGCGGTGGGAAGCAGCTGCAGAAGATTGAGAATCCGCGAGGGTGTTTGGCCGCGGTTCTACCGCGACCGCGGCAGAACCGCGGCAGGCGCAGAAACTTCGGGGACCAAAGTGTCAATTACGGGATTTTTAGACCTAAACCTATTTAAGACACTAGACTTCGCCCAAGAGAGGCATGTATTGATTTTTTAGGTTTCTTAGCAAGGAAAAACATTGTGAGAAAATACTCTAAACATCTTTCTTCTTTTCTTTTGATTTTATGATGAATTCAAGCTTAGTTTATTTTCCCATAGCCATGAGTAGCTAAATTCCTTGTCTAAGGCTTTGATGGAACCTATTGGGTGATGAACTTCTTGTTTATGTGAATACAAATTGCTAGTTTAATCTTTATTTGTTCAACTTCGTGTTCGTTGTAGTTAATTGACAGGATCCTCAATTAGCTGTGCCTATTTAGTGTGCATAACTTGGAAAAGAGTGCATATTTAGGGTATTGTTGAACAACACCACTCCTAGATTATTAGAGGAATCTATAATTGCGGGTTTAAAGGCGGGATTAGGGATAACGAAGCCTTGGGTGTAATCTAAGTGAATTGTGCTAAATAAAGTAAGCTAGTGTATCTCGGGAGAGTGCAATAGTAGATTACTGTGATTACTCGGGAGAGAATTGCGGTAAGATTAGCGTTCATGATTGATAGAGATGTGTGGGTAAATTTGTATGAGCATAAACAGATTCCATCAATAGGGGAAATTATTGCCTTAGCTTTTTCTCATAATTGTTTACAACCTTATTAATTTAGTTACAGCCATTAGTTACTTGCAAGCTAGTTGTTAAAGAACACTCAACTGAGAATTTGAATATTTGAGAAGCTGGTTCTGAAGACTTGGTGGGTCTGAAGATAGCGGTTGATAGGTTAACTCTCTGTGGATTCGACCCTGGGCGTAATACTCGGGTTATATTTGCAACGTCCGCAGAGTCCTTTTTATAAGGCATAGTTGGGCGTGATCACATAAATATTAGGAAAATAATTAAATGGCGATTTCTACAATTTAGAAAAATAACTTAAATTATTATTTTGTGCAACGTGAAAGCTATTATTAAAGGGTAAAAATACGAACCATTGCGCGTGAACACTATTTAGATGAGTATGAACTATTAAAATATTACATAAATATTATATTAAAATTATGTTTGAGTGATAAAATAAATATTGTAGAAAAAATATAAGTTCTTGACAATAGTAGTTGTTGAACCTATCTAGTTAACACAATAAGCAAAAAAAACTATACCCCTATAAGCCCTCAATCATGTCAGTCAATATATTCAACTTAAAAATTAGATCG